ATAAATAATTTTTTTAAAATTTTTCTAATTCAAAAATCGAAAATCGGGCTTCGAGGTCTGGTGGCCAGCCCCTTTGTGCTTCCGTATAAAAAATTCCAGGTCCCTGAGTGCGATAGATTTGGCTGGAGAGCTCGGTCAGACAGACAGACAGACACATTACACTTGCTTTTATTATTATAGATTATATTAACGTGTTGGCGCCCGCCAAATCACCAAACTCATAAATCGATCATATTACATAAAGTTCTTAAGAACACTCCTGATGAGAAGATAACGTCACCATGTTATTTCAATTAATATTGCTGATTGGATGAGCACCATGACACACACATATCTATAAGTAGGGCTTCTCCTCATGGTACAGGAAGAACGCTTATGAGATGGATGCTAAAATAAACATATCACTTTATATTACAACAGTTGTCTCATTCTGTTGCCCGGCTGCACGACGCAAATAATGTATGAGATTCTACATTTCATATATATAATCTATATACATATCTCACATATATTTATTCGTCTTAGCTGCCATTTCTAAATCTTCATAGAAAAATTTAATATTGATTAATTCTTTGCTCCAGCAGTACAAAAATCTGACTGCTGTAGTGGAAGCAGGCAATTATTTTCACTGTTTTGAATTGTGGTATTTTATTGATTACAGTTTTTTTACATTATGTTTCCAAAAACATAGTTTTCTGAAATATAATTTCATCAACCATGAATCTAAATATTTATGATTTTCCATCAAAATATTGTATTCCTGCAAAACATTTGTCTCATTGTCTTCCATTGTAAATGAATTCCACAAGTGAATATTTTAAAACTGAGATTATGATAGAAAATATCTTGAAATGAATTACCTCTCTCTCTTCCATTAAAATTCCATTATTTAAAAAGTTTTCCTATTTGTTCATATGTGGTGCCTAAACATGGTGAAGTCACTGATAAGACCAACAAGTACTGATGTAATTTTTAACACATTCTGTTTTAAAATTATAATTTTTTTTTATGTTTTATTTATATATATAAGTTGTGATTAATACAGGGTGGCGCAGGGAAATGGGAAATTTTGAACGTTACAGTTAGCAGCACTGTAGAGCCGGCAGTTGTTCGAAACTTTGCACAATTGTTGTGAGTACATTGCCATTTAGTAATTATGGATCATTGGACTGGTGCGGAATGTGCAGTAGCTGTGAGAGCGTTTTATAAAACTGGTGATAGTGTGACTGCCGCACAGAGAATATTTCAACAGCATTACCAGCTTGGATGTGTCCCATCTGCGCATGCGATTACAACATGGGTGCGTAATTTTGAAGAAACAGGATCTGCCTTGAAAAAGAAACCTCCAGGTGGCATTCCGACAGTACACACACCAGAGAACATTAAAGCTTTTAGAGCTGCAATCGAGAGAAGTCCTCGCCGCTCCGTTCGACAGCATGCATCTTGACAATCGATGTCAATCGAGCCACGTCACATGCTGCTTGACAATCGATGGCAGCAGTTCGTCAATTGTTTGGAAGACACATTATTTCACGTAATGGTGACATTGAATGGCTTGTGAGATCCCCTGATCTTTAGTGTGTGCGACTTCTTCCTGTGTGGATATCTTAAAGGCAAGGTGTACCGTACATGTCCTGCAACAATCCATGAACTGAAGGAGAACATTAACTGAAAAAGAAATCACTGCCATTCCCCAAGATTTGCTCCGATGTCATCTTTAAAAAGTAAAGAGACACCTTTGGACATGTTGATTGTAGAAACAAAATGGCATGCTGAATACATGCACTTTAGTTAATAAATTACTAGTTTTATGAATTTATTCGTGGAAATGATGTTATTTCGAAATGTCTCGTTACCCTGCACCACCCTGTATTTTCTTGTAGTACAGTACAGTTAGTTTTTTAACTAACCTCTTGATAAAACCGCAAGACTTCTGTTTTTTTTTTTTTTTTTTTTTTTTTTTTTTTTTACATCTCACGGACACCCAGTTTTAAATTTTTAGTCTTTACTGAGTTTTTCAGCAATAAATAAATTTTAAATTGTGCAAATTTCATTCCCCCACACCTAATGAATTTCCACAAAATTTTTCTTATTAAATTTTATTTGAATTGTTTTAATTTAGACAATTATTTGAGTTGTCTTCTGTAGACATTTAAAAAAGTTTTAAGAGCATTAAAGCAATGTTTAATCAGCTAACCTTAGTCTTTTATTTTGTTTTACATCAATATATGGCACAATACTAGGTTTATTAAGCACTTTGATAAATTAAAGCTGACTATCCTTACTCAAGGTTTTCTCTCTATAAAAGCATAATTCTCTAAACGTTAATGATTAATTTATGACTAATTAAATGAAATTAGGTAAAGAATATAAAATTTAAATTAATTGATTAGATATTAATATATTTTACGTCAGAATCGTACTGTAAATAGTTGAATTATCCAAATCATGCATTATAAAGTGAATTTAAGTCAATTTGGAGTTCTTTCAACATGGTCCCACCATGCAACATGAAAATCTCCCAGAAACTCCCGATTTTTGGCCCAAGAAATCTCCCTTATTTCATATTTCAAGTTTGGCAGCTGTAGTATTACGATTTAAAATAGTGTCATTTGTGAAATACTGAAATATACAGGTAAAGTTAGTTCGCTTGCATTATATGGAGAAACACACATTTATCTTTGCATCTTGGATGAAGCAGTATCTAGGTCTAGCTTTGTTGTAAGCACATATTCAGAGCTAAAAAAACTTTTCCATTTTATCAAAATGTAATTATAAGCTTTTATTTCATTCATTCGTGGTGTTTTGCTCTGGCTGGAATTTTGTCATCAATTTTTAGCGTACTTCCTGATAAGCTATTAAATTCAAATTTTGTAATGTGGTGAAGCAATTTTTTTAATTTAATGTTTAAACGATTTTTTTTGCACATGGCTTTGTTTAACAAACAATCTAAGCATATCAGAATTCTACTGTTTGCACCTTCAAATACAATGATAAAAAAAATCTTTTCACTGAAACTTTTATGAAAATTGGAACTTAGTTTCTGAATATTTGAAAATTGCTCAATTTTTCAGACTATTTGACGTTTATGATTTAAAAATTTCAGCATCTAAAAATGTACCGAATGTAAAGTTTTAATTTTCACATATTCTTAAAAGAAGACTGATAAAAAAATATTAATTGTGATTTTTTACATTTAAAAAAAAATCTGTTGCAGTCTGAAGCAGATAGGAAAAGCATTTTGTATTTGCCATCTTGGTGCACTTAATGACAAACTGGCGATATTAATTTTCTCATTTTGATTTCAAGTAAAATTCTTGTTAAATAGCATTGCTATTGGATCCAGTTTCTGAAACTGAATAGTCAAAGTGGTTTCTTGATCTTCTGAATGGCATTCAGTAGTTTTTCTTTATTTTCATATAATTGATTGCTTGTGTTTTAATAATGACTAATTTAATCATTGATAACGTGCAGTTGAGACAAAAAGCAGAAAATAAAATACAAGTAAAAAAAATGCACAAAGAACAAATAATTTATTATTATATAATTTAATAGAAATAATAGATTACATAATTATTTTCACAGAATTCATCTACAGTTTTTATATTGGAAATAATAAAACTGGAGTGCTTTAAATAACAAAATCATTGCATTTCCTAAATAACAGAATCATTGTAAATTTCATTGCATTATTAAATGTAGAACCCATTATCTTTTTTAATTCATCATGGGTACCCTATGCTTTTATTATTCATGATATAAAATCATAGATGTATTCTGCAAATGAAATTATTTAATTCATTACTCCTGTTAAACTATATGATAAATTATTTTTCTCCTCATAGTGCATTATTTATCATATCCATTTTAAATAAAAGTTTATTGTGTAAAAAACTTTTTTTTAAAAAAAAATTGTGTTTTCTTTAGGAAATCCTTTTGCGAGAGTGGTAGGGAGGAAAGAAAGCTGTGGTACCTTTAAAAGCCAATCGCTGTGTTGAGTATCAAAACAGCAACTGAGTTTAGGCAAATAAGCTTATGGATTTGCCTTAAATTAAGTAATCTAGTTTTCAAAGATTAAAAGCTGTCATGCAAAGAGGACAATCTACTGATATTAAACAGAAATTTATTATTTGATCTACCTGAAAGTTCTGTCTGTTTTTAGAATAAAACAAAATACAAATTTTTCTTACTGTCAATAAACTTTATTAAATAATAAAATTGCCATTATTATTAATGACTTTTTGCCAGCGTAAGGGCAATTTGTATATCCCATTTTTGAAAAATGTAACTTCTGATGCGAAAAATTGAGCCAGTGCTTGTTTGATATCTTCTTCATTTTTGAATTTTTTGCCCTTCAAAGAGTTTTATAAGCACAAAAACAAGTGATAGTCAGAGTATGCTTAGTCTGAAGAATATGGTGAATGTGACAGAATTTCCCAGCCTAGTTCTGCAATTTTTTTTACAGGTCCCCAAAGCAGCATGTGGCCTGGCATTATCATGATGTTCTTAATATTGAACATCACTGGTCTGTTTTCTTGGACTGATGCCTTTAAATTGTCAAGTTGCTGACAATACTTCTTCAAATTGAGCTTTTCATTCGGTTTTAAAAGCTCATAATGTATTGGTCCTCGAATGTCCCACCATATACACAACATTCTCATATTCAGAGACAAATTTAATTTAGGGATGGAAGGGCTAGCTTTTTCGGGTTCACAATACGCCCTTTTTCTTATGATGTTTTCATAAGTAATCCGCTTTTCATCTCCAGTTACCATCCGGTTGAAGAAGGGCATATTGATAAGGATCCAAATATTAAAACCATATTGATAAGGATCAATGTGTATTGTAAGTAAAGCCATATTCCTGCTATACTTAGTTGACCTATATGTGTATTTTTATTTATCAGTCTGTCATAAAAAATAGTAAGTGTAAGTAATATAAACCTGCCCCCCCTTTTTTTTTGTGTGTGCCGAGTGTAATTTTTTTGTTCAATTTTGCAGGTGGAGCAGGATCCTCCTCCTGGCAAAAAGGTACCTAAGAACAAATATCCCATTTTATTCTTTGGCACGTATGAAACGTAAGTATTCCTTCTGGGAAAATATTTCTATTACTTTAGTTTAAAATATTTTATTATTAATAAGATTTTTGTGTAAAATATCAACTATTACATAACATGCACTTGGAACTCCCTATTTGGAAGATTATGCTCATTTTATATATACAACTAGTAGCTATGGGGCCAGCCTTTGTCTGGCTCTTAAATGTACCGGAAAAATGCCTGAAGGGAATACCAAACATTAAATTTAAAAACTGCACAGAATATTATTCTGCAGAACAACTTTATAAAAAAATCAATAAAAATGTATTATATATATAAAAAAATGAAAGGAAATATGCCAATCTCTTAAAAACAGTGACATAAGAAATACGATGAAAAATTGTTGCCAAACCCATATTTCTAAAAGAATGAAACTATTCAAAGTGATGCAATTTCATAAAAAAAATCTATCAACAACAATAAGAAAGGAAAATTGTTAGCAAAGTCACATTTTTAAAGATGTGAGATGTACTCGGAAGCGTCATTTAAAAATTTTTAAAAAAATAGAAAATATTATCATTTTTCCAAAATTCTTTTTGTAAAAGCAGTTGCAAGGCTGAAAGTGTAACATGTCCAAAAATCAAAGAAAAATAAACTATATTTTTAAAAATAAACTTTTTTTAGAAAAAATCCCGTTGAAAAGCTGTTAAGCTCACTTTGTTAAATAAATTTCTATTTAATCGATTTATTGAAACACGAAATTTATTTTAAGTTTGTAAAAAGTTAAGTGCCTACGTTTCATGACGACGTGAAAATGGAGTGTGTAGAGTAAAATCTCGCTTTCTTATAGCCCATTATGTCTCAAAATGACGCGATTTCATCACAAAACGTAAAGTAAAAAAAAAATTCGAATTCGTATTTCGAAAAAATCGCTTCGAGGCGCACTGGTTCTTGTCTAAATCAGGGTTCGTACGGTCCTTTAAAGTCCTTAATTTTGGCCAAAATGAATATATGGTCCTTAATTTTGCTCATTTGACATTTCTTATCATTTCTAATGATTGCCATTCTATGCGTGAATTGCGATTTCTCATGAATATGGAATTAAAATTGCTCGGCTCTTAACCAATCTGTTGGCAGATTTGCGTTGCAAACGATTAAAAAAAAAAAAAAAATTAGCTACCCGAACGAAAGTATCGGTGTCTGATTGGCTATTCACCCAATCTTTCGAAACAGGTGTTATCTATAAATTTAGGCAGATTGTGACGAAAGCGTGAAGCCGGAAGTTCTTTAAGAGGCAAAAGTGATGATGAAGGTGCTTGAGGAAAAAAAAGGGGGGGGGATTCTGAAAATATTTGCCAAAATTAGAGCAATCCCAACCTGGAAGGCCACAACCCTTCCGACGCCAATAGGAACGAGATGCCTGGAAAGTGCATTTTCAATAAACAGTGGCTTCATCAAGCTGACTACAAAGACTGGATATTGATGGATGGCAATCCTTAAAAGCTAAATGTGGTCTTTTGTCTGAAACAAATTGAAATTTCTAGAATGGGAGAGTCAGCGCTGAAAACTCACATGAAAATTAAGTTTCGTTTTATCATTTCAATTTGTTTTTACACGGTTTTGCTTAGCTTAATTTCGGTGTTTGTTTCAATTAAGCTATAAATTAATTTATCACCTTCTACGGAGTTTATTCTCTTTTGCACATACTATAAATATGGGATATCGAGATTATGAGTTTATTTCTGCAGAGGGTCTGTTATTGATTTCGCGGGAAATCTGTTGGCTCCATTTCGATTTTAGGTCGCCAAGGGCAAATTCGGTAACACTAGCCGAGAAAAGTGAAGTTCGGATATACATTTAGAAGTATTCCGAACAATTAAGTATTTTATAAAAGGTTTTTCAAAGAATGTTATTAAATTTTAATATTGCATTCTAAGAGATAACATTCACCAAGTTTTAGTCCAACCCCCCTCCCCCCCAAAAAAAAGCTGTTGTTGATAGTAATGCATAATTTTTGCTAATGGCGATACAATTATTAGTTGAAAATAAACTAACTAATTAAAAATTTTTAAATATTTTTAAAGCTAAAAACAACAAATTGAAACTAATTTTTCTGAATTAACTAGACACAAAATTAACTTTCATGAATTACTAAAGTTATTGGATACAAGTTTAACTGAAAATATACATTCCGTATTATATATATATATATATATATGTATGTATATATATATAATATAACAAGCAAGGTAGTTAGTACAATACTGTAAGACCAATTTGGTCTAGATAACATTTTGCGCAATATGCTGCAAAATAAGTAAATTAGAAATTGTAGTAAGCTTGCCTAAAAGTTACCAGGAGCTGTGGCTCCAAAAAGTTCAACACATTTTAAGAAACAATGTCATTTAAGGGTGAGATATATATATACAGTAAGACCCCGCTTAACGCGGGGGATACGTTCCATCGAAGTAGAACATAATGCGAAACAGCGCTAAGCGAGGCTATCTTAACATATAAATAATGGGGTTAGGGAAAGACGGATAAAAAATGGTTAGGCATTAAATTTAATAATGTTTTTTTTTAATAAAAATAAAAACATTTATTTCTTACAAAAATAAAAACAATATAAACGCATATACTTTTAAAAACAAATAAAAAATTCTCAGTCAGATCATTCAGTCTATTCTGGGTTTCCGATTTTCTGCCTTTTTGTCAAGAAGGCATTATGATAGATTGGCTTAATGGCATATTGCGTTCAATTTCGTCGTCAATCCATACAGACAGTAGTCGTTTTTCCATTTCCTCTATAATGTATTATTTCTAGAACGGGTAATTCTAGTTGCAGAGCTTGATGTAGTTGCAGTTGTCGATGACAGTATTTTTTCTTTATTCTTAAGAATTGTCCTTATTGTTGAAGTTGCCAAAATCAATGCAGCACTAATTTGAGATTGACGTTCACCAGAATCTAATCTTCTAATCACTTTCATTTGAGTTTCCAGTGAAATGCTTTTTCTGGTTGCTTTCTTTTCTTGTTTTTTATTATCACCCATGATAAAAACTAAAGATCATAATATTTGTCACTGTATTAATCGTTATAGTATTATACAAATTTAAACTTACAATAATGTCAACAAATGTTTCAAATGATAAAAATGCGTCCACAAAGCAAGAAACACAACTACACTGTTTCGGATATGTTATTTGGAAATCTAGCGCTGCGCACAATTTCGGAGAATCCCCGGGTTGGAATAAAAGAGCACTAAACAGAACAGCGTTAAGCGGGGTCTTACTGTATTTATACAGTACAAAGTCGGAGGTCTGGACTCGTCGGGACTTTGGCGATTCCAGATTTGAGATTTTTCCGGATATTAGATCATTTTAAATCTACTAAGATGGCACGTAGAAATTATAAAATTGAAAATATGAAATCGTGATTTATGAAATGAAACATTTATGATTTAAAGGGTATCAAAATTTACAAAAGAAAAAAGCTTAATATTTATATGTTTACTCTATTAAACATTTCTTTCAATGTGAGTTGTTTGATTTGTTTTCTCTGCTAAATACTATATACATATAATTATATGTATATAAATACTATATACATATAATTTCTTGTTCAGTTATTAAGTTCCATTGTTCAAGTCCTGTAATTGCTCTGTCGAGAATTCCGAATAACTCGTCAATCAAAATTTTTTTTCTCGTTCAGTAACCTCTCTGTTACTTTCTTCACTATCGGTAGCTGTATTTTCTGGATTTAGAACCATACTACAGATTTCGCCTTCCATTAATTGATTGATGATTGGGCATTGTCATCGCAATGAAAAACTTCTGTTTAACTTCGCTAAATTCTGCTGTCTGTTGCGGCCATGCGAGCTCTGGCGCTGGTTCTGGCTTTATGTGAATAACAAATCAGTTATTCTTAATTCAAATAGCACTAAATATAATCGTTTGTCCTATGAGTATCATTAACAAAATCTATTTTTAGCATAAGGAAAGAAATTTCTGCTAAATCTCCCCTTGTCAACATTTTAGCGCATTAAACTTAAATCTGTAATCGGATAATACTGAGTTATTTGGCGTCGCTGCATGATTCATCACTCAAGTTGTCATCCGTTGATAAACATGCGGTGATGTAATTTCTGTAATTTCTTGTAACAAGCATAAAGAAGTTTTTAACTAGCTTACTTAACTTTTAAAATTTTTTCTTAATTTCCCTTTTTAAATTTTGAGAATGTATACATAAGGTTAAATATGATTTCAGAAAAACATTCTAACGTTTAAATAGTCTATTAGTATGGGATGTAAAATGTACTAAATACTATTGTTTTTTAAATTATTCTGCTTCAAGGAATAATATTTTAAGATTTGGGGAAAAAGAGGTGTTTACAATATTATTAATATTTCTTTCAGCAATATTTTATTTTCTTCTACATAAATTAAAATGGGAAGGATAATGTTACTGGCATCTGTGACATTCATAGGTGCTGCCCGAGTGGTGCTAGATGAATAACGATTTGTAGTGGCAACTGGTATCTCACTTCAAATAGAGAATACTGCTGCTTATAGGGCAAGTAATTTTAGTGTAAATATAACATCAGTGGAATGCAAAGATAATTTTTGTAAGTTTTCAACTTTTGCACTATTTAACAAAAATGACGTAAAAGTCTTAATTCACTACTTGAGGAGTTCTGTGAATCCAGGTTTAGCCTTATTATCAGCCAACATGTTTGATCACTAAAAAATTGGTGAATTCAGCTACCTTGAAAGTAGTCTTAAAATGAGTAAAACTAAAGTAACCCTCAGTAAGATTATATATAAAGGAGTTGTGAGAGTTCTGTAGTAAGTCAATTGGAGTAAATTTAACAACATGGTGGAGCAATTAGGATCCTTCCTCGTATTTCTTCTGCATACAGATGGCATCCACCTTTTTCTGTGGCTGAGTGCCAAAATGAATATCCAGAGATGTTGGGTATATAAATACAACCCTTTTTAAAATGATGGCTTTACAGTTTAAAAGTATAGCTAGTGAAGACGCT